TTCCTTCCTTCCTTCCTTCCTTCCTTCCTTCCTTCCTTCCTTCCTTCCTTCCTTCCCTAATATAAGTCCAAGATATCCTGTAAAGGAAGAATTAAAATGAATGCTTTGAATGTGTGAATGGTCAACTATCAACCTGACCATGCAGGCCAGCCCCGCACAGCCATATATGCCATGCAGATGCTAAAAGCTTTGGAAAACTAGCTCTTTTGAGAAATGCCAGCCACACACCCTAGAAAATACACAGCCAGTTCAGTTAAGCAATGGAGGCTTTCAACCCCACACCATGCCCTCCCCAAATCCCTCCTTTCAACAACAGCCAAACAACAGCAACAACAGCAGCAGCAGGCCAATCAGATGCCAAGCAGCCCTTCGGGGAACAAGGCCAAAACGACCAGTTGCCATGGAGGTGGCAAAGGATGTGAGAAGCATCCAGGAAACTAGTGCAAGGGGGAGAAAAATCCAATTTGGAGAATGATAGGAAGCAGGAGAAGGGAGGAAGATAGAAATAAAGAACTCCAGAAAAATAATTAAATAAAATATAACTCTCAAGTCAATCGCCCTCCCTCCCACTTCTTTTGCCCCAGCTTATTTTTTTCCTCTGCTTTTTTTACTCTGAGATCAGTAGTCACAGACAGAATGTCACCAGTTTCCCCTCACCATCATCTGTTTCGAGCCAAGCAGCAATGGGCTAAACCCAAGGCAGCTGATCTGATCTACTGATCTCTGGACTTTATAAATTTCATCTGGTTTACCATACAAATAGAAATTTCACATAGCAGACCTTAGAAAGCAAGTATGGTCTCCTTCCCCTGATGCCTTAAATGGCCTCCTTTTGACCTTGGCACATACAGCCATAGCTGAGGAGCCCCTGAGATCATGAGGGTGGGGTAATAAAGGAGGGATCATCACATCAGTTGGGTTCAGTTGATTGGGGTAAAGGAAGAACACAGATCTTCCCCTCCATCTCAGGGAGGAAGAGGAGAGTCTCTTATTGAGCCCATCTTCACTCCCACTTATTGTAACAAATTCGCAGAACCACAACCATTTTTTACACCAAAGAGCCTGCTCGGCTCTGTGCTGGTACCATTACAGGCACAGCACCTATCCTCTCCAGCGTTGCTTGGCTTACAGCATAGGACCATGTGTGTTGGGGTCGTGGTTTCCGACTCACTGATCCATTACTCCTGGCCATCTCCTGTGTAGATGGAGCTGTATTGGTTGTCACTACCAATGTCTTCGGTGGAGGGGGTGCTGGGTGACCTCCATTAGCATATACAGAACGGGCATTGGTACTTCCAGAACGAGAGAAGGCCTGCCGTGCGTCATTGTTGAGGTGAGTGAAGGAGTCTGTAGCATGGTTTGCTTTGGGGTCATTCCAATATCGGCTGTTGTAGGTATTGGAAGAGGTAAGAGTGTCATTTTCAGATGAGGAAGCATCACCATGAAAGGCTTTTGTGGATGAAGAACATTTGGGTGGCAAATCATCCTCCCTAAGAAAAAGAAAGACATAATTATAATTCCCGTTACACCATTTCCTCAATATCCCCTCTTTTCCAAGACAAATAGGAAATTTCCTTGCTTATTGACAAGCATGCATGAAATAATTAACATTGGACAGCAAAAAACACCCAATTATTTCACTTCTTTGATACCAACATCTTAATTCTTACCCAAATACACACCACAACTTTAAGTTTTACATTCTAATTTTTCGTGCTAATATCCTGGTTTCGTTCTGCCAAAGCTGAATACACAGTGATAATGGACAAAAGGCAGAAATTAGCCATGGTTATTTCTTATGTTATTGCCATTAGCTAGCATTAAAATGAATTATTTTCTCTTGAAGAATTTATTGCTTGTTTAGACTGCCATGACTAATTAACAAACTATACTTCTCTTACCAATAATATTGCATGTAACCCTCTTGCTAACATGTCAGAAAAGATGATGGATGAGACTTGCATTGCACTTATGCCTACTCCATTAATAACTGGCACTGCATAGCCATACCATTACGAGTATTGAATGAGAATCTTGTATGCTAACATCTAATTTGGATTCATTACACTCAAGAATGAGAAGTTACTGTAATGTCTTTCTCTTGAAACCTGGAGACAATCTTGCTTAGAAGAAAGGGAAGAAATTTGGAAGGGTAGACAAAGTATTTTCCAAGGCCAAACCTTATCTCATTGGGAATCTCCTCCTCCTCTTCCTCCTTGTGTTTGTTTTTCCAATAAAAGAGTGTAACAGCCACCAAGACAATGCAGACAATAAGCACAACTGCCCCTGCTGCTGCAGCTCCGGCAATCAGACCAATATTCCGAGGGTTAGCTGTGTGGGACATGGAACACATGCAAAGTCTGAGTAGAAAGAACACATGAGCATGTTCAAAGAACCACAGCAGGCTGTAGGAAAGACCAGCTGTATTCCTAAAAGTAACCAAAATCACTTAGAAAAAAGCATCCATGAATCAAAAGTTCAGGGATGTTGTCTTACATATTCTTGTAACTTGCGATAAAACACAAGAGGTTGTTAACATTTTCCCATTTTCTTTTGTCACACTAAACTAAATGTTACCATATGCACATTTTGGTGTGGATTCTGGCATTCATTCAAACAAGAGAGCTTTTAGCAAAGTGAAATTATTCCATGCAATCTGCACATAGCCAAAACAGCTTTAAATCCATTATGAATGTCTGAAGTCCTGGGACAAGGTGATAGGACAAATTAATAATTATACAGAGAATCTAATGTAGGATTGCTGTGTATATGTGTTTGTGTGAATTTTATTTATTGCTCTTTTTTTAGAAAAGCAAACAACTTCACAAACTTTGCTAATTTCTTCTTAAAGTGATAGAGCTTTAAAGAGCATAAATGCTCTGTCTATCAACTCAAGATAGCCTTAACTTCTTTGTATTCAATTAAGCGACTGAATGACTTAATTTTGGGATATCTCCGTATATATTCGACTATATTTGAGCTCAGCCATGTTGATCAGCATCATGTCTATTGCCAATATAGAATAGAGGCAAAGTGGTATCTGAACATCTTCACACCAAGACCCTCCCAGGTCTTTATTTCTATCACCCTTCTTGTTCAAACAAGTCAGATGCAATGATGTACAGTGTGAATGAGGCTGCCATAATTTTAATAGTTATTCAGTGATTACTGGCAGACATCTCTCCTTTAGTAGTGATGCATTGAACAGGCATGAAAAGATGTTTCCTCTGCTGGAAAGATGTTTCCTCTATTGACTATGACAATGCAAGTATTTTATTTTGTTTCCTAGAACAAAATGTGTCTGTTTCTTGAAAATGTGTCAGAAAAAAGCATTTGATTTTAAAACAATGAAATATATAAGGAGGTAAAACAGATATAGTTTTACTAAACTAAAATTTCCCCGAGTGCTTTTATCTTCCCCAAGGCCTTCCGATATGGATTGGAGCCAAAATGCGGAAATGAGAATTTACACTTTTCTACTGTGCAGCAGTTACAATTCAACATCCCAATAAAATTGCCTTGGTGGTACAGTTATTATGCTTCTCTTTCTAAAATAACAGCTCTAAGATGCAATTTAAACTTGAGATGTGTGCAGAAAATAGAACTTCCTTGAAAAACTAAATCACTTATAGCTATTTGTAGAAAAAAAAATTGTGCAAGAAAATTCAATTATCATTCAGCCACATAATAGTTCATTTGTTCTAAATGTCTAGTGTAGTGAAAGCAAACCTTTCTCTAATGATGACCTTCCTGTAAGAAAGGTCAGAGATGATCAGAACCAGCAAGATTAGGGATGTTAAAGAAATTTCCCACAGAATTTCTGTGAATTGGTAGAATCTACCAAAATAGGCTTTGCAGCAATATAGGCAGCAGCAGCAGATAGCAGAATCTAGTAGCATCCATCATTTAGGGTGAAAAAAAGAAAAAAAATCTATTTAATCATAACAATAACCCCAAACAAGAAGTTATATTTGGGGAAGACTATGCAAAAGAGTGCATAAATATATTTTTAAATGAACATAAGAGACATTCATATTAAAAATCATATTGGAGAAATGTAAGTTAATACATTGGGTATATGGTATATATTAGAAAGAAAGTTTATTTATATATGTTACCATCAATGCCTAGAAAATCTATAGAATGCCAAAAATGCCATCAATGTCTAGAAAATCTATAGAATGCCAATAAATGGGAAAGTATGAAATACTTAATATTTGACACATTTCCTAGACATTCTATGCAATGGCAAAAGGGAAACCAGCAAAGTATAAAATACTGCTGCTAAAATGTCATTCTAGCCTTCCTTGTTGCAACAAGTAGGTCAATACTGGTTTTTTTCGCTTGTTTTTTTACAGTAAGAAAATCCTTTATTTTTCATTTTTATATATGACTTCTCAATAGAGAGTTAGGGGTAGGGTTAACCCTAATCCTAAATCTTTTCATGACTCTCTTTTCATACTTTGCCTGAATAGTTTCTGTCCTCCTGCATAATGCCTAGGTATTATACAGAATGACTAGGGAAAGTATACAGCGAATTCATACTTTGTGCATCAAACATCATGCATTTTATAGATTTCCTAGGCATTCTATACAATGACAGCTTTTCACACACTGCTGGTAACAGATATAAGAACTTTTGTTTTTGCAATATAAAAAAAAGCAATGGAATGTATTATTACCTGAAATTCTGCAACAGTAATATAGACAGAGTTATAAAGCTGCACAGATCCCAATACAAGACAACAAGTTCTGAATACTAAATCTAACTCACGTATAATCACTTGAACTTCAAGCGAACAGGTGCTGCTTCCAATGACATTGGATGCCATACATTGGTAACGTCCTGATGACAAAGAGCTAATATTGCGCAGAAGAAGAGTACCCTGAACTAGATCTAGACAGGAAAGTCCAAAAACAAAATAAATAAAATCTTATAAATTAAATTGCAATTTATATAAGGCAGAAGAACCATTTTACCAGAATTTTGAAAATCCAAATCCAACAAAACTTAAGTTGCAATGTAAGGCTCTTAAAAGACAGATTATAAAATGAAATCTTCAGATGAAAGCATATTTTACAAATGAGACTAGAGTTTAAGAAGCTTATAGTGGTCATTTTCTTCTGAAAGATTGTTGTTATAATTTGGAAGCCTAAGACCGAAGGAACACAGTTAAGAAAACTTAAAAAAAACACCTATCTATCACTTTAACAAGGAAACTGAGGACAGATTTGAACGAGTCAGTTTTTCTTCTTTTTCTTTCTTGTTTTGTCTTGTCTTTGCATTGTTTTCCTTTTCTTTTGTTTTCCTTCTTCCAGAAAACATTTCAGCCTGTGAATCAAGACTCATGAATGAATTTAAGAAAATCAACCACCGTTCACATAATACAATACCTCAACACCATCTAATCAAGCCTTCTCAGCAAATATTACACTTCAAGAAAAATTTCATATTTTAGAAGGCTGTTCTAAATTTTGCTAATAAAAATTAAGACGCTTTTGCAAATAACAAATACATGAATATATTTTGGGATGCAAAATAAACAAATTTGTTATAATACAGTATGAAATATTTAGTAGCAGGACAGCAACATAGCTTTTACAATGCTTCAGGCAATCTCTCTCAATCTGGGGCCATAGGAAGTTTTAGATAATGTTTCCAGGAAGATTATTTTCACTCCAGTCCTTGCTACAACCCCCTTGATCTAATCCTGAGTTTTAAGTGCTTAGCTAAACACGGCAATCAATTTTATAAGTTCTATACATATAATGTACTATGAAGAAATCTTTAGAATAATGAACCTAGCCTATAACTCTGGTTCCTGGAAAAACAGTTTCCGATGTAGGAGGTACTACCGACATATCAATAAGATCCAGATGAGAGATTTTCAATTTATAGACTATCACCATCGCCATCATTGTGACAGATATTCTCCATACTTTATTGACCCAAAGTCTATGTTCACAATCAGTTCCACTATAGCAGAATAGCTATTTGTGATTCTGAGCAACTAATACTATAATTGGAAGTAACTGTTTGCTAAGAACTTGCTTGGTTGTTGTTGTGGCTACAAATTGCTGAATTTACCTTCTAGCAAAAAATCAGTTTATCTTTACTTGTATTGATTTCCTTTATTTATTTTGTATATTTTTAGAGTTTTTCCCCCCCAAGAATGCTTTCTAAGACGTGATGAAACACTGCATAATCAATGAAAAAAATGTGGCCTACTTTTAAAAATTAAAGCTAAAAACACCTAAATTCAAAGTGTATTGTTAACCATTGCTTCCTTCATACCTAATAACCAATAGCTTGCAATCAATGGTACCAATGGTTGGCTTATCACACAACTTGGTGATATACATAGGTTCTGCAAAAATCATATAAGAGGAGCTTATGACTGCATATTAACAGAAACTTTCAGTCCAACTTCTGACCTATCTCTTTATATCAGGGCTGTCAAACTCCCGGGCCATGGATGTGTCAAGCGCTAGCCACGGCCATGCCCGGTTTCGCGAAGGGAAAAAAAGTCCCAATACATCACATGACGCCACCATGACGATGTGACACCCCTGCTTTATATGAATATTAGCAAATTTAAACAACTTTATCTTTTGCCAAAGTATGTTTTGTTCAACATTTTAAAATATTACTTCTTTCCCATTAAAGCAATATTAGGTTCAGACTGACTTTTTTTCTCTTTTAGTCAGAAAACGGGGTGCAGGAAATGTTGCTGATTAATCTGACAGAAGCTGAGGATTTTGTTCAGTCTGGAATGCACTCAACGGTGTTCCAAAAGAACGGACATAGTGGTGTTAACAGGCAAACACAGAACTTCCAAATTCATCACAAGGGGAAAAAATACTTTGTAAAGTCAGGTTGGCACAGAGAAGAGCAGGAGCAGCTCTTGGTAGAAATGCATCTCAACTGAGTATTGGGATCAATAATCAAAATTATGTTCCTGCAAACTATTTTCCTGAAATTTCAGATCACTCTCCTGTGTTTCTGACTTTATTTTTACTTGATATGTTAAAAAGCTTTCTATTTACAATTTACCATTACTATTCTAAGTACAAAATCTGATAAATTTATTCTTGGCAAAACACTTTGAAAAGTCTGTTTATTATCATTACTCATTTTTCATCAGCTGGTGAAATATAGCTTATATGCCTGTCTGTCTATATCTAATACAACTTTTGGAATAAAGTGACTGCTATCTGCATTTTTTACTGATACACTTTTTTAAAAAAAAGTTTAATGTTGCAAATACTTAGATGTTCTGAACATTCATTCAAAAAAACCCCAAGTACTATATATCCTTGAAACAACCAAATATAAACTTATTTAAAATAACAATGCAATTTAATCATTACAATAATCTTTTATGACTTCGGTGAACATGATTCTTTTTGATTAAAAAACCCTGAAACAAGCAAAAGAACATGCATCTATTCTTTGAGATCCTCCTCTTTAGAGTTTTTTGTTTTTGTTTTTTTTCGCATTTATTTCATGTGGGGGCAGAAAGCACTGCCAAAACTCTGAAATCCTTTGTGATATCACATAACCTGTTGTTATGGGGTATATGATGTTTCACAATCATCCTAGCTATCTGAACCTGATTGCCTGGTATTACTATTCCTGTAAAATATATTACAAGATAAAAGAATTAAAAGGTGGAACTATTTTGTTTTATAGTATATTTTTTAATAACAATATTTGAGCCATTGGATTTCTGGCTAATTTGCCAAAATAGCTGGCTACCATTACTTTAAAGTAATGTGTGCTATTTTATTTCATACATTAAAAGCACTTAAACTAATTAGAATTCCACTAGAGGGCACCCAATGCTTTATAGGCTTGGTTGTTTTTTTTTATCATCCAAAACAGATTTTTCCTTTCTCCTCTGCTTGTTACTTTTAATCATTTTTTACATTCAGATTATCAGCATTAATGGATAATATCAGCATTGATTGACAACATTAATTGCTTTCCTCTCCTGTAACATGCTTGGACCAGGTGCTTTACAAAAGTAACTGAAGCAGCAGTTTGGGACAAAATGCAAAACTTACCACCACATTACCACCAAAATAAATTAAGAAAAATTGGTCAGACATCCAAAAGAAACAGAAAGAAAGATAAGAGAATGGTCACCTTGGATGGATGTTGGAGGCAGCTTGGGAGCATTATCCAGCCTTTCCCAGTTGTAAGTTGGCCGAGGAATGCCTTCTTCTGAATTACAACTCAGTGTGATGTCACTACCAATATTCAAAGAACCCTGAATTCTGCAGTCAGGAGCAGATGGAGGAACTGTTACAAGAGAAGATGGCATGGATTATTTACAGTAATTTTTCTTTAACATTCTTGTCATCTTTAACAAATATAGGCAGCATTCTTAAAAAAATGAGAGGATACAGATGTTCAAGACTAATAAGGAAGCAACAGGCAAGGTAACCTGCTGAGACTTTTGTAAGTACAGGTAGTCCTTGATTTATGACCACATGGGACTGATATTTTAGTCGCAAGCCACTATGGTTGTAAGTCAAGGCACCATGTAACCTGACTCAATTTTATCACCTTTTAAAAAACTGTCATTAAAGCGAACCACACAATTGTTTATCAAACTACACTGTCAGTTTGAAGCCTTTTTGTACAATGGATGCTTTTGCCATTTTTTGCCTGAAAATGGCAAAAAAAATAAAAAATAAACCACAAAACACAAATGTGTTGCAACAGGATGCTGCAACCACGCGCAAATGCGAACCAGTTGCTAAGTGCCCAAAATGCAATCATGTAACTGTGGGGCTGGTTCGGCAGTCGTAACTTTGAGAATATGGCTTAAGTTGCTTTTTTTCAAGTCCATCATAACTTTCAACCCGTTAAACTGAGCTCAGTCATAACTAGGCTTAAGCATGGCCATTTTTTATTACAGGGAAGGACAACATCTGTGGTCCCTCTCAATTATCATAATAAAGTTACTATGAAAATATTTTACTTTACATCTAGATTCTATTGTCTTGATAAGGTTATGAGGTTTACATTTACTATCTATGTAGAGAAAGATGGTATGACTATGGATCAAGTAGGTACCAAATTCTTAAAAGCACCTAACATAAACATGGTCAAGCAATGCTAAAAATAAACTATATAGAGCTTAAAGATACTTATACCACTAGCAAAAACTTTTGAAAATGTGCCATAATAGATCAAAAGTAGAGAGAATTCTTTGCCTTCTATAAGTGGTTCTATCATATACTTCTGACTCCTATTACCAATCCTATCTTCTACTATCTAAAGCTAGCTTGAATCTCTCATAACCCACTTCTGTCCCACTTATATCAGAATCTACAAAATTTATCTTTTAATGGAAAAAGTTGAAAGGGTCTTCTATTTCATTTTTTTTTCTAGAAATCAGGAAACTGGACAGTTACAGTTCAGCTCCCCTTACTTTTGTCAATTTTGTTTACAGACATTTCTAAAATCCTGCTTTTACTTTGTCATTATGGGCTACTGAGTATAGATTCATGAGGAAAAAAAATGAATTTCAACAATTGTAGAATCAGGCTGCAGCATATAAAATTGACAAAAGTAATCTGAATACTTCCTGAATGCACCATGTATTTATTATATACACGTTGGGTAATGATGCTCGGAATTCTGACATTCTGGTCACTAAGTGAATCCAAAATATCCAAACACACACACATTATACAACTAAGGATTAAGTGATACATAATGCCAATATCGGGTAGGTATGGGTTTTTGTTAACGAAGTGTGCACGCTTATGTTTGAACTATTTCTTCCTTGCTGCAGTGTCAACAAAATCACTCTTTCATCTAAGACAGCTGTGAATTTAAAAGGCATTTTAAGAGAAAGAAATCCATTTTAATTTTTTTAAAGGAGAACAACATATTGGCAACAAATTTAATTGACAAGATGCAGGTTTTTATCTTGGCAAGGAGATAGTCGATGGGTTTCTTTTCCTAACTCTTTCCCAAGTACAGATAATCGTCAGCTTAGGACAACAATTGAGCCCAAAATTTCTGTTGCTAAGCAAGATAATTCTTAACTGAGTTTTGCTCCATTTTGCGACCTTTCTTGCCTCAGTTATTAAAGAAATCAGTGCAGTTGTTAAGTTAGTAATACAGTTGTTAAATGAATCTGGCTTCACTTAACAATGAAGTAAAATGACTTTGCAGAGTCACAAAAGGTGACTTTGGGGCACTGCAACTGTCATAAATATGAATCAATTGCCAAGCATATAAATTTTGATCACATGACCATGGGGGATGCTGCAATGGTCAAAAGTGAGAAAAGTCGTTAAGTCACCTTTTTAGTGTTGTTGTAACTTTGAATAGTCACTAAATGAATTGTAAGTTTAGAATTACCTGCATGGAAACCAGGCAGTTGGATGGGATACTGAGTGACTGAAGGCCCTTCCCTATTACGGAACTAAAGTGATATCCACTCCTCGAATCAGCATGACATTTTGTACAAGTAGTCCTCAACTTACAACCACAATTGAGCTCAAAATTTATGTTGTTAAGTGATAAATCTCTTGCATTTTGCCCCATTCTACGACTTTTCTTGCCACAACTGCTAAGCGAATAATTGCAGTTGTTAAATTAGTAACGTGGTTGTTAAGTAAATCTGGCTGCCCCATTGACTTTGCTTGTCAGAAGGTCACAAAAAAAGGGATCACATACATGACCCTGGGATCTTGCAACCTCCATAAATGTGAGTCGGTTGTCAAGCATCTGAATGTCAATCATGTAACCAAGGGGATGCTGTAATGATCATTAGTGTGAAAAATAGTCATAACTCACTTTTTTTCCAGTGCCGTTGCCACTTTGAACAGTCACTAAATGAACTATTGTAAGTCAAGGACCACCTGTATTTCTACTGCCATTCTTTTCTGCCTTTATTCTCCCAGTTTCCAATCTCTGTTTATCTGTATTGCTCTGATTTGCGAGTGGGCCTTTTGTGACAGGCAGTGATGGTTTTAACTAGCTGGCTTTACTTTACTCCCTCTTCAGCATGTCACCAACCAGAAGGATAAGCACCTGGCAGGAACTAGGTGGGCCTAAGTACAATATTCTGTTATCTCCAAATTGTTTTTTGTCTCCTTTGCTATACTCTACTCTGTCAGAATTTTAAGTATTTACATCCTATCCTTATTTACTGACCATACTCTGTCCAACAACTTAGCTAAGTGAAATGGTCACTAAGTAAGGAGAAAGAGGGAGGGAGGAAGGGGGAGACAGAGAGAGATGTTGCAAGGGTCACTGTTGCTGTCCTCTCATTCAGACAAAGATCTCTCTTACAATGTGCCATATCTGATCTTTCCTCCCCACCCTCCACTTTTGCCCCCTCACAGGATTTTGGTTGAAGAAGCTTTCTCTTCCTGTTTTTTTCCTCAGGCAGCACTTCTCTAAAAAGTGTTACTGTATTAACAAGCTCAGCTCTGTGATCTTAATTAGTTTATTAGAACCCTCTGGCAGGCTTTAGGCACCTGAAATTTGCTGATAATTGCACATATTGGGCAGGAAATGAATTTTTATTAACACCTATTAATCTCATATTTGTGAATGGTTCCTAACCAAGGTAGTCACTAAATGAGGAGTGGCTGTAATGGAACAAATATGCCAAGAGTTGAGTTGTTCATAGAAGTTTTAGAGAGAGACCAATTTTAATTATGACTTCTAATCCCTTTCCGTTGTATTACTGGTGTGTTATTTCAGATATGAATGAAACTGGTCAGAATCATACAGTTAAAGTAAATTATAGTTATCTAGTACTCTTGTGCAAAACTGGTGGACCACTGGCATGGCAGCAAATCCTGTTCCAGAGTCTTGCTTACAATTAAAATTAAAAAGAAAGTTGTACATCAGTTCACCTCCATATTTTAAATCTATCATCCATTTTAGAAAGATCATACCCAAGACATTGAGCCCAATGACTCCAATATGCCGTCCTCCTAGGTCTGGTAGATTATTCACCAAACACTGGTACGTTCCTGTATCTGAGAGCTTGGTATTGTTGATGAAGATGGAGCCACTGGTGGTTGGCATTGTTTTTGCAAACCCCACTCGCCCATGAAACTGGGCTGCACCGTCAAAAATCTGACCACCCTGGTAAATAATAACCTGAAAAAGACAAGGCACCATATCATGCAAACTAAAGATTAGAGTAAGAAAGTTTTTACTTATTATGCTCTGATTACAATATCTTACCTGTATGATGTGATTTAAAAACACTTCAGAGTCTAGCATAAACCTGAGTTTTGGATCTTCATTTTGCACACCATTTCTTCTATTTTTGGTATGGATAAGTTTTTGTGCTGATTTCTTTTACTTTATGGTCAAATTTCAATTTTTTTTTTTTTACAAAAATGCAGATAGAAAAGTAGAATAAAATAATCAAAAAGTATGCACACCATTATATAGATATAATTGGGGAAATAAAAATGTAAAATCTGTGTTTGTGTACACAGCACAAAAAGATATAGTATCAGCCAATCACACAAGAAATAAACAAAATCAAACTTTTTGTAATAAAAGTACATATAATGTATAAAAATAACTTTTTAGCTTTATATATTAAAATAGAAATGTGCAATATTGAAAATTATAAAACTGCTCAATTCAACAAAATATTATAAGTTAAATTAAAAGGCAAATGAAACTCCTGGCAAATTAGTCAAGCTGAAAACGCCAAAGGACCACTAGGTGGCAGTGGTTGGCTTCAACTTTAAAAAAAGTTTGTGTAAAAGTTTAAAATGGGATTCCAAATCGCAAAATAATTTAAAGAAAAATTATTTACTATTGCACAGAGATAAGTATAAATGTGTCAAATTACTGAGTTTGTAGGTAGAACTAGGACAAAACTTAACACAGAAAAATAAGTATCAAAGTTCTTGTGCCCATTCCTTCCTAGACTTATTACCTATTTCTAAAGAAATAGAATTCAATTGAAATCAGATGTTCCTTCCGATTGAACTCCATGGATCTCAATTTTTTCCTCTTGAAATTCCAAACTTAAATTTGCGATGTTAAAGAATCGGTGTTTACAAGGCGAAAAAAGCATTTCTTCCTCCTGAAGATATTGATTGATCATATGAGCCAATTTGACAGCAAGTGAGTCTAAATGCATGAAGAATACAGGGCTGCAGTTTTGGCAGTCTGCTGTTATGGGAAATACAGGCTAATATTCCCGGAAGTTATATATGAGGAAGTTGTATAACAGTGTTTTATCAATTTTTTAAAACAGTTTCAATTTGATGACAGTTTTTGCATGAATCTAGAAAATGTTATCTAACTGGGGAAAAGAACTCTCAATAAAATTTAAGGTACCATGTTCACATGCCACCTAGTATGACACGCATGAGTAGAAAACTAATAGCAATAACCTTTGAGGAAATTGATTCTGGAAAAAAAATGCTATGTTTATCTTATATCTGTAATAGCAGTGTGTGTTTTGGAAAAAAAAAGGAATAATTTACAAAACAAATTTATTTGCTATAATAATGAAAGTGCTCTAGAGCTCTTTGCTGTAGTTAACTGAAACTTTATAGGCATGGTGCTAATTTTTAAAAGAATGTCACCCCTCTGTCTGTAACCATTATAGCCCAGGCAAAGGTTGCAGCAGGCCCTGTAATTTATACAGCAGGACTCGGGTACCTGCAGGAATCCTTTCTGTGACTTCACCACCTACCTAGTGATGTCACCTGCAGCCCTCCAGCTGCTTGAGGGAGCAAGTTGTGACTCCTGACCCTGGGAAAATTGCCCTCCCCTGCTGTAAAGGCTGCTCCAGCATGGCTTCAATGGAAACAAACAAGAAACAGGATTTTATTTGGAATTCCTTCAGTTCCCAACCAGTAGCATTCATGATAGCATCTGTCTGAAGTTACAGACAGGAGAAAAAACTGGTTTTTGTTTAAAAAAAAACAGAAAAGAAAAAAAGATATGGAAATAAATAAGAATAATAATTTCCATAATTCCATATCAATTGTGAAATAAAATGAAAGGTGAATGAATCAGTAAGCAGATTAAAAGTTTCAACAATAAAAAAATAATGAAATAACTACATATTTTTCTAGCTTGTAATATTTTTTGCTACTTATAATATGATGATCTAGTTACCATGTTAGAGCAGTAATAAATCACTTCATATTTTTTTTCCTCACAAAGAGCTCTACTATGTACCACATGGCTGAAATCATAAGACCAATGATCAGGTGCTGAGCTCCAAATATGGATTTCTGCAACGTTCTGTATTCCCTCAAACCGGAAAAATCACAGTGCTGATGAATCTGCCTTAACCCTCACTTGTATTTTTTCATTTACAAAATATCTGAAATAGTCTGGCAAAAAAAAAAAAAAGTAGCTATGATCCCAAGATTCAGATAAAAGCTTAAGGAAGTACAAGATTGAGAATTCATCTTATTCATCTGATATACTGTAGAGATAAGTTTTGTGTAGCCTTTTCACAGTTGAAAAATTCCAGTCTGACTAGGAGAAATGTGGCATAAATAATCTTAAATGAGAAAGAGAGGCAAAAGGAAGCTCATCCATTTTTCTGATAGGACTTGGTACCTGTTCAGGTTGGTTGGCATTGGAAAGAGGCGTAACCATCCAGATGACATTAAGGTTAGTGAGTGCAGCACTAGTGGTAAAAGTACAGGGCAGGATGGCTGTCTGACCCCGAGCAACTTCAACACTCCGGGTATTCATGAAGACCTCCAAGGGACTCACTAGACCTAAAAAAAAAAGAGAGATGAAGATAATATATTCTTATCTCCATTTTACAATGATGTAGTAATACAGTAACAAATGGGATAATAAACGTTCTGTCTTTCTGGCACACATACAAAAATGTTCTTAGCTTCTTCTCTTATACTTGCAACCACCAAGCTGCCTCCTTGCCTTACTTTCCAAGACTTTCTACTGTCATGGAGGAATCCAAAGAAGTACTAGTAACATTTTTATCCTGGTGCACAGTATGCAGATGGAAAGTGTAAGGAAAAACAAATGACTTTGCTATATGTGTATACTACAGGCCACCCAACTAACTGGAAGAAATAGATGAAAATCAGTTAGGTGAGGTGTGGAGGAAACTCAGCACAGTAGTAATGGGGGACTTTATTACCATGACATCAACTAGGAAGAAAACTCTTCAGTGAGTGGGAGATCAAACATGTTTCTTATGTGCCTACCGGACAACTTTATTATACAAAAGGTAGAGGAGGGAACTAGAAGGACAACTATCCTTACTAGCAGGGATAAAATGGCTGAGGAGGTAAAACTATAGGAATTTTGGGGGACAGAAACCATGTCATAGTTGAATTCACCATAATGCAACCACAAGTAACTAAACTAAGTCTGACTGGAATTTTAGATTTTAAGAGAGTTGACTTCAACAAGCTAAGAGAGAGACTAGCAAGGATTCAATGGATAAAAAGCTTAAAATGAAAAACAGTTAAAAATGCTTGGGTAACTCTGAAAAATGAGATAATGAAGGCCCAAGCAAAAATAATACCAAAGAAAGATAAAACAAAAGACACCGAACAAGATCAGCATGGTTGCTCTCTGACAATATAAGGAACAAAAAGGCCAAATATAAAAAATGGAAAGAGGGATACATAATTAAAACATAATATCAACAATAGCCTGAATCTGTAAGGAGAGAGTCAGGAAAGCTAAGGCCCAGAATGAGCTAAGACTGGCAATTAATGACAACAACAATAATAATAATAACAACAATAACAACAATCTATTTCAATATGTAAGGAACAAGAACAACAACAACAATAATAACAACAACAACAATCTATTTCAATATGTAAGGAACAAGAACAATGTCAACGAAATGATAGGTGAACTAACTAATGGGAACTGAAAGCAAGAAGGTGATGGACAGGGATAAAGCAGAACAGTTTAAATCCTTCTTTGCATCCAACCTATCAAAAGCAGCGAGGGAGACTGAACAAGAATAGGCAAGGAATTAGTAAGAGAATCCCTTACAAAATACAAATCACCTGAGCCAGATGGTTTACATCCCAGGGTTCTGAAGGAGTGGGCAAACATAATTTCAGAGTCACTGAATGTAATCTTCCAAAGCTCCTGTACCACGTGGGAACTACTAGAAGACTGGAAAAGAGCTGATGTGGTTCTGATCTACAAAAAGGAGCAAACTGTAAGCCAGAAATTATCAGCTTGATTTCAATATCTGGGAAAATCTTGAAAAAAAAAATCAAGTGGTGAATTTATAAAAAAAGATGCTGAGACCCTAGAAAGTGTGCAGAGAAGAACAACAAAGATGATAAGGAGCCTGGAGGCTAAATAGTAAAATGAACAGTTAAGGGAGCTAAGTGTGTCTAGTCTTTCAAAGAGAAGGATTAGGGCTGACATGATAGCTGTCTTCCAATATCTGAGGGGCTGTCACAGTGAAGAGAGGATTGGCCTATTCTCCAAAGCAACAGAGGACAGGACAAGAAGTAATGGGTGGAAGCTTGTTTAAAAGAGGTCCAACCTAAAACTAAGGAGAAATTTCCTAACACTGAGAACAATTATTCAATGGAATAACTTGCCTCCTGGAGTTGTGGGTGTTCCATCATTGGAGGTTTTCAAAAATAAACTGGATAACAATTTGTCTCCTGCCTTGAGCAGGGGACTGGACCAGGGGTGGTATGCTTCCGGTTCGGCCCAGTTTGGGCGATCCAGTACCTCTGAGGATCAGCTGAGAATGAACTGGTTCAGTTTGCTGCAACGATCATCTGTTTGGCCCTGTGTGCTTTATACCTTGTTTTTCAAACTCAGATGGTAGGTGCGACACAGCAGATTACCACGCATCAGGTGTGAAACACACAGGGATTGCCAAAGAAGGTCATTAGCAAACAATATGCACGCGCAAAGTGCATGCTCAATGAACTGATAGGAAACTTTTTTGAAACCCACCACTGGACTGGACTAGACAATCTCTAAGGTTCTATGTTTATAATGAAAGTCCTAGACCTCTACAGAGTGATAATAGGAAAGGCACCCAAACAGCTTTTGACAATGAGATTTGGGAAGAACAGCGGCATATGCTAAGCTATGTTCATGTTTATTGGTTGGGATAGAATAGATTTATATAATTAAACTAACAGCATATACCGAGTGGCATGCAAAGCCAAGGTAAAGTGGAGAAAAGTGACTGTTTAACAAAGTCATATGTTATCTTACATGTGCTAATCATACACACCAGACAAGCTCCCACCTGTGAGATTAGTAATCAATGTATTTACTCTCTCTCTCTCTCTCTCTCTCTCTCTCTCTATATATATATATATATATATATATATATATATATCTATATATATATATATATATATATATATATACACACACACACACACACACACACATACTGCAGCTATAGACTCCTAAAGACACACAGAACAAACATGTTTCTGAAACAGACCAATATGAATACTTATTCCATAAATTAATAAACAAACATCCAATAATTTGTTATTATACAATAATAATACTGCTTTTAAGTTGCAGTTTTGGATCAGTGGTGGGATTCAAATATTTTTACCACTGGTTCTGTGGGTGTGGCTTGCTGGGTGAGCTTTGCGTGCACACGTGTGCCAAACATGCACTTTGCACAGGCACAGAGGCATTCTAACTCGCCTCCTGAAAGCTTGCACGATCCTGGTCATTTCAGCAGCTGTTGCGCAGCACTCTTCTGTGCCACACAAAGCAGCTGCGCTTCAAATTCAGAGGATAAAGTGAGTATGGGAGCCTGGGCGGGCGGGCTGACCCAACAGCAGAGCGGCGGAAAGATCCAGTTAGGTCTCCACTGTTCATCGCTGCTTGCAGCCCGGCAGAACCAGGCCGAATCAGTAGAATACCACCACTGCTTTGGATGTGAAAGAGTAGTTTCCCATGTTTGAATGCTTTTTCCTTTAAAATAAATTCCTGCCTAAACAAAACTAGCATTTCATGGCAGATCTTCAGCTCAGAGGCTGGAGAATTATTCTGCTACACAAAAAGTATATTTATTGAGTTCCAAAGCAAAGCAAGTATCATATAATCACTTGTTTAATAAAAAAGCCATATACTAATCACTTGTTTAATAAAACAAAAGCCATATATTAAGGGCAAGTCTCAGTTGCTCTGGAATGTGTGTGTGTGTGGGTGGGGGGGGATGAAATCACCAGCGCAGTTAATTCCTTTCTCCTATGGCCTTGCTCACTGTGTATAGCTTGGTTTATTGGAAAAAGAATATAAATCTTGTTAAATTTATTTACACTTAGTCTGTAGCTTAGCTGTGGTTTGGATATATGCAATTTCATTTGTAAAGGATTGATTTTTACATGATTTTGCAACCCTGATGACCTTAATTAATTATACAGGCCTCTCTCATACGCCAAAAGAGCGTTGACTGAGGAAAAGTTTTTATAATCACATTTGCCCTTTCTCTCTCATTCTTACAGACCTGGTGGAAGTACAAAGCCAAGTGCTGGTTTTCCTGTGATAACAAAAAGCAGTTTGGAAAGACGACCTTACTATTTTGTGCAAAACTCTCAGTTCCTTTTTTAAACTTTCCCTCCTGGGTTTTGAAGTAGCCAAATTAGCTGAGCCAACCCTGTGCTTCAGCTGCAGAAGAAGCACTCCACACCCAGATATGATTGGGGTTGTACCAGGAGAAAACACTCATTGGAAAATGAGATGAGAAGTGGCCTGATCAAAGGCATTAAGGACAGTCAACTTCGAGAATGCATGGGGCCAGAGCCAGTTTAGAGAGGGTGACTGGAGGTGGAATATGACATGAGCTGTTTCAGAAGACAAGTGGCTGAGAACTGTTAACAGATCAAAGAGACAGAAACAGCTGTGAACACCAACAGGCACACTTGCTTATAGGGTAAGAGGCAACACCGACAGCCAGCTAGTAGTGGTAATAAACTACTCCAACCCAGGAACTAAGAGATGTCAAAACCCAGCAGAAGTTCAGGTCAGAGCATCTCAGAGTGTGGTTAAAATGGGGTGATATACATAATGACATATGATGATTTGCATCATCATTATATTGACCTTTCTTGGCCATATTTTTAATAACCCTGAGAGGCAATGTATACTGAATCCAAAAGCCTCATAAATGCGAGTCAGCAACCAAGGGGATCTAATCTGGGGTGGCTAAATGTTGGCTATAACTCAGGCTGAGGAGAAAATAAAACTATCTCTGGCATTCCATAGTTGGAAGAGTGACTGAGGATGGAGTGAGATAAGGCCTTGTTACTTGTTAGCAGTTTGGGCAATTCAACCCTGACTGTAAAATAAAATGCGGGACAGCACAAGAAGTTTATAGAAAACCATAAAAAGCTACAGGCATGATAAGAATCTCATGCAATAAGAGGGAGGGAGAGAGAGAGAGAGAGATCTAAAACAAGCGGTTACCTTCCATTTTTTGAAAAAGGAATTATTTTTGTATAATAAAAACCTCACTGGCAACAGAAGGACAAAGAAGCACTTCTTGTTTGTAAGATTCCCCAAAAAGAAAATCCAATTGCAAACACTTATTGTCTCAATCAAGTTCATTTGATATACAGTATCTTCCCCAATCTATCACACACAGAAACATATTGAAACACACTTCCAGTCCCACTTCTCACGTATTCACATTTATCTCCCTTATATATTTATGCCCAGACACAATTCTCTCATCATCCTTGCATTTGTATTGAAATGAAACAGAAACCAGCATTTCTATGTT